CATAGTTTGTGTGGTTCCAAAGCTGCTTTATGGACCTCCGATGTGGACATACAATGTTGTTCAGATCATTATTGATTGACAGGTTTGTGTCATCTTCTGTTTGGTGAACTTCACAAAGTGTTGCAACATTGCAGCAAATATCCAGTGCTGTAATATTTCACGGTACATAAAGCCAAGGCACTGACATAGATTTGTAAAGTTCCTGTGATGGTTTGCATCAACATTCATTTGGGTGTCAATGAGTTTAATAGTCGTGGCTTTTTTAGAAAACTGGGGCATAGAACACTGGTTGAGTATGGAAGGGTGATGGCCAATGTCTGAAGCCCCAAGGTTTCCATCCTCCAGCTCCGACTGATTATTTTTTTCAGTGTGTGGACAAGTGTCAAGCCAAGGTAGGTCAGCGAACTGGTTCTGGCTAATCCTTGCTAAAACCAGTTAAACCAGTTTTTACTTGCATATTTCACAAAATTAGCTGAACAAAGATACCTCATGTACCCTAGATAATTATAGCTTCTAATTTGGGAAAAAAAATTCGACTTTGCACTGTTTATATCTTGGTTTTATCACGTATCATCTGTATTGTTGCAAACACAATGCCATGTAACAATACATAAAACATAAGCAATAAACCAATGCTTTAAACATTGCATGGGATCTATCAAATTACTTGGCAATATTTTGCCGTGTAAACATGCTGCTCTTCTAAGACATAAGTTTCTGTATGTCCGCATCTCAATCTCTCCTTGTGTCTCTCAGGACAGACACAAATGGAGATACAAATACAGATAAAGCAAGAGGAAAACAGACAAGGATAGACAATGAGGCAGACAAGTAGACGCACAAAACAAGGACATTGAGAGACTGAAATACAGACTCTTAACCATTGGTGTATGTGGTGATGGCCAAAAATAATAAGGGAGTAGCCGCCAAATAATGGAACAATTCCAAGTGGATCTCTGTTAAGGAGATAGAGCAATGAATTCAGCTAATGTGCAGGTGCTGGATGGGCTATTGCCACTGGTGGAGCCAGTGGGGTGGGGTGGCACGTGCCCCCCCAATGATCCGAGCAAAATCCCAAATTTCGATCGGATCATTGGGGGTTGTTAGTAATAAATTGGCATTTTGCAACCCCCACTGCCACTGTGTAGCATATTATTATGTGCCAGGGACTCTATGAGATACTAGGACAATAGTTTGAGTCCATAATTTGCAATAAGTAACGGCAAAGCAGATATAAGTGACTCAGAATTGTGCGCAGTTGCGTATTCAGTCCACGGCTTCCCTGAAGGCAAATACCTTCAGCGAGCGTGATGCCGATCACACATGGTTCGACCCTCGATCGATGGCTGCGCCATTGCCGCACACGCGTCGAATAAAGAGCAGGGGACAAGTCCTTACTTGCTAACAACTATCATTTTTCATTGCTGGAGGGGCTGCCCCCCTACCTGAAAATCCTGGCCATTGGCTATTGCATCGCAGGATCATGAGATGTAGCTGCATCGACTTAGCCTCAACAGGTGGTTGGTAACATCGATTTCTCCAATAGTAATTTGAAGGCTATACGGGGGATCCTTGTGTTGATCTGTTTACACCGTTGATGCAAAGCATAACGTTTGTTTTGGGGTTTTTAATCCTGGAGCATAACGTGCAGTTTTTGTTGTGGAAAATTAACAGGCAAAACCGGTTTTGCGTTCTGGTTTTTGGTTCAACTCTGTGGCCATGTGTCGTCACAGCTTGTTGTTTGCTTGTCGCCATGTATACGACGATGGTACCCTTGTCCATCACTGGATACGTGAGTTCTTGGAGTGCAAAGAAGACGATGTTGTTCATCGTCAGTGTCTACGAGTTACTCGTGTTTTACTAAAGGTCGTCAATGTTGAGTTGACAAATCTATATACCCGGGACAAATGTAGGAAGGTTTGGCCCCGAAAATGACGTCTTTACAGCTTGTAATGTTGGTGTTCTGACAGATGTCTGAATCATCAACGTTTGGTTGCCGTTTTGATGACATTTGTTGTTTTCCACGTGGAACAGGGTGGGACCTGAGGAGGCTGTCATCTTCCGCCTTACAGTGGATGATTGCACAGTACATTGTTGGGAACCAATTAATGTCTCGCTTGTGTTATGTTTCCGATGTGTACACAGGGCACGTGAGGCTTTGCGCCAATGCCTGCCTGACCAGCTCAAGGACAACACATTCGCCACAGTTCTGAAGGATGATACAACCACCAAGCGCTGGCTGGCCCAGCTTATGAAGAACCTGCAGGAAGTGACAGACCCGAGGGGAATCCCACTCCCCACCCAGTGATGCATCTCTTGGGATGTTCTTCTAGCAAGTCACATTGCCCAGGGCATTCTGACAGTACCAGCAGTAGTTGCAGTCTTTGTGTAAAATACAACTTATCATTTTTTATTGAAACACTTATTGTGAAACCAGTACAATCTGCCTCTTGGACTTGTTCTGCATAACATTTTCCTCTTCAAACCTCAGAGCTTGGGGTAATATTTTTCATATAATGTAATTCATGGAAACAGGCATTTCCCAAGCTTTATCGTGGAACAACATGGTCATGAATTTATGGTTGGTTGGTTGGTGGAATGTTTGCTTTAATTTTGGAAATGTAAACGCTGTTTACCATAAAAAATTACAGTATCACCATATTTCAACAAGTTCAATTGTAACAGGAAGCACAATATACTGATCTTTACTTTAAACTGCATGCTTGGAACAGATTTCTGCAGTTTGCCCGAGTTCATATTGTTGCCGATTATATCCAAAATATCCCTATTAAGGCATACAAAGTCTGTGCTATAACTTTTACTTGATAAAATCAGTGTTTATTGATACTAGTCAAAATGGTACTGTAATAAAAAAATATACCACGTGCAAAACGTTTGCACAGCATTACTTTTGTAAAATAGAATCGTTTAAATAGAATTATTCTTTGAAGTTGTGTGTGGCAGCTAAAGATACCTGCACATTTGGCAAAATTGTTTGAACCCTTGTAATTGGTTCACCAAGATGAAATAAAGCCATGTGCTCATATGCTAGATAGCAAACACACCTTCTCAGTTGTAGGCTACTGAAACGACCATGCGAGTTTTTAACAGCACAACTTATTGATTGACATTAAAAGGAGAAAAGTAATGTTACTTGTTCAGTTGGCAACATTGTTAAAATTGTATTATATGCTTGTGTGTGTTATCACAAAGTATTTTTGTATATGCAAAGGCCATAAATCTTAGGTTTAACTCAACGTTTATAAGGTCATTGTGATTGTGTTCTGACGCGATTACATTGTACAAGAAAAGCATTTACATTGATTGCATATAATGCACTGAATACCATTTAAAAGGCTTGTGGGTCAGAATATTGAGTACTTGGCAACAAACGTGCGCTTTGTGAATGATAGTTTTTCAAGATAAGCAAAGGGATAATGAACTTATGTCAATGTTTACTTTAAGTGCAACTTATGTTGACAATACTTTTTGTATTAAATCTTGAGCTCTGGATAAAGTTAAGCGCAGAAGTTTTTTTCCGTCTGATTTTTTTGCAGACTCGTATTATTTGAAAGATCTAATGCTGCCCTGTGATTTATCTTTTTGAGATGTGCCAAAACAATTATATGGTTACTTATACCTAGATACAAGTTCAGACTCGTAGGGGAAAGTCCTGGTCCAGTGAGTGAAAAAGTCTGGCCAGCCATGTGTTAGACCAAATAACAAAACTATGGTGTGCGTTGTACAATACGGACAGTCCCTGACTTGCATATGGACTCAGTCTCTGAGGCATTTTCGTAGGTCTGTACTATAAATGCACATACCGTCGGTTATTAAATGTGTTACGGTTCAACAAAGGGAAGCGTTGTTAATCTCTTATAAGAAATGCATACCTGTCGACCCCTTATCAGTGCCTACCTTAATACAGACAAATTCAGACTTTATTGGTCACACCGTGCCCTCATAAATCTCAACGTTCATCCGACAAAGTCCCATCACAAGAGAGCAACACAAACACTTTTTTTGCTCAATTTCGCTGTACGAGAATACGGGTAAACCGTGTGGGTTGATCGGAATGGAAATTTGTACATTTGCTATAGTCCCGCTGTTCGATTTGCAAGTGCGAGTTCACGTTCGCAAGTCCGATAAAACAAATATTCAGGAAGCTCGTTCGTAAGTGCAAATATTGGTAAGTTGGGCACTGCCTGTACTGGTAGTTGGGTTTATTGGTTCGAGGGTACACGGCCGTATTCCACAATGTAATGCACTTAAGCTACACTTGACAATACTCGCTATAACTCGTTCTCGTGTATTTTATTGTGCATTACATGGCATGCCATAGTGTATGGTATGTGAAATATGCATTATTCGTAACTAAAATACAATTTGAGATGTCTTTTTAAATTAACCGACCTGGTCTGGCTAGGCAGGACCATACGAGATGGGAGGCCCCCACGCCCCAACGCCTTCAAACTAAATCGTAGTATTACATCGGCGCGGGGCGGCCTTCTCCCATTTGTAATACCTTCGGGACGGCTCTGCGGCTCGGTGTGAAATTCAGTAAAGGCGGGTCCGGCTAGTTGGGGTTTCACCATTTGCTAAACTCAATTGAACGTTCAAACCCCCCAGATTCCATACACAGTTCACCAAAGTACTTACATAATTTTGTATAAGGGGGGGGGGGGGGTGGTTTCAACCATTCAAAAACTATTCAGAATTTCTCAAGAATTGGATTGCTATTGCGTGCTTGTTGATGCAGATGATAGGGCATGTTAAATCACTGCAATTAATCCACATCCAAAGACGTTCACTGCCATGTGTAACCTAAGATGGACTAAGCAGCTTGTGAATTCAACAGGTGCGTGACAACCATCAATTGGAAAATAGTCTTCAGAGCGCAGCGGATAACTTTGAAGCACAACGTGTTTTCAAATAAAATACAGCAAAAGCAAAAACTACTCTTCTACACATTCTGGAAGAGAAACAAAAAACGTGAATCCGAATGCATAGTACAGTATTCACAGCAGTGCTTACAATGTTAGATAGAGGGCGGTACTAAAATATTTTTCCAGCAAAAAAACAAAAGACCTATAACCCACACGCGACGAAATACTGCGTATCAGTTGTGTGTCGACTCACGGACACGACACGAGACGAGAAGAACCAACGTCGACGCGTGTCGCGGACTCTACTCGATCACGGGACAGCGCCAACCGGATCAGCAAATGCCCCCGTAGCCAGCGCCCTTGCAGCCCGGGGTCATCGTGAGCGCGCAGTTTGAGAACAGAGAACTCTGCCAAAAGAACATAAAGAAACGCCATGGCTGCGTGGTGGACGAGGATCACCCGCTTCCGTCCCCTCTCTCTGCTACTCCGACCGGCACCGCCCGGATTCGCTCGCGTTGCCGGGGCCGGGACGCGAATTCCTACCTGGACCGAGACGCGCACCGGGACCGGCGCCGAGACGCGCGCACTGCGCTGGGCGCACGGCGAGGCGGCGGCTCCCGGGGTGGTGACTCCTCCCGTGGCGGAGAATTTGCGCTCACCGGAAGAGCTGACGGGGCCCGGCTTCTTCTCCATCATCTACTGGGTCTTGTGCCGAAACGAGAACGCGCACCTTTTGCAGGTACAGCGCAGACGTCGCGCGCGCAGGTGATGAACGACGTCTTGCGCAGGTAGGGAACGACGGTAAAGAAATGACGTCTTGCGCAGATAGAGAACGACGTCTCGTGCAGGTAGAGAAGGACGGTAAAGAAACGACGTCTTGCGCAGATAGAGAACGACGTCTCGTGCAGGTAGAGAAGGACGGTAAAGAAACGACGTCTTGCGCAGGTAGGGAACGACGTCTCGTGCAAGTAGAGAAGGACGGTAAAGAAATGACGTCTTGCGCAGATAGAACGACGTCTCGTTCAGGTGATGAACGACGTCTCGTGCAGGTAGTGAAGGACGCCACGTGCAGATAATATATTGTGCAGATTGACCACCTGTTACATTCAGGTAGAGAAACATCTGCTAAAAGTGACTGCTGCAGACTACGAGTTAGACTACAACAGCTGCAGGACGATGACATGGGTGGAAATAAATGAACTTGTAGGAGTTAGTACAGCACACCGGTGTGTTGGAGAGCAAATCCACAACATTTACAATCTGAGTATTCACTAGTACATCACACCGGTGTGTTGGGGAGCAAATCTCTCCAAAATCTCTCCAACACACCGGTGTTGCTGTACTATTCAGATTGTAAATGTTGTGGATTTACTCTCCAACACACCGGTGTGCTGTACTAGCAACCAATTGCCTAGTTCTGTTTACGTTACAAACCTTACTCATTGGCGGTGGCGGGTTTAACGACACATTTTATATTTACACGATCTAACCCCAAAAAACCTTTATTTTGCAGGGGTTAGCTGGAAAACACATTCTGATTCATTTTTGAGAATTTGCTGCGGGTACAGTGATTTAATTAATTATGAGAGGTAAGCAACTGCTGCCTGGCATAGCTCAGAAATGCCTGTTGTGGATAACATGCACACACGAGTGTTCGTGCAGTACTTCGTTTATCTTTGCACATCTAAAGCCATTGGGTAATACTGCGCAAGCTCATAATTTAAGATGGGGACTTGGTTACACCATAAAAACATCGTTTCGGCAACAACAAAAACCCGTTAACAAAACAAACCAAAGTCAACTGCACGGGGTCAAATTCCGAATGGCGAGGTCCTGCAACCCGCACAAACCGTACATGGCTAAGAGAACGCATCACATACAAAAACACTGATACTGGTAGGAATCTCCTGGTTACACCAGCCCACAGGGGATTATTGTGTCCGTCCGTCCGTCGTCCATCCAAAAATGGGAGGGGTGGGGCTGGATGGAAAGGGGAGGGTGGGGAGGGGCTGGGTGGTGAGGGGAGGGTTGCGAGGGCAGGGGAGGGTGGGGAGGGGCTGGGCGAGGAGGGGAGGGTGGGGAGGGGCTGGGTGGGGAGGGGAGGGGCTGGGTGGAGAGGGGAGGGTGGGGAGGGGCTGGGGGGGAGGGTGGGGCTGGGTGAGGAGGGGCTGGGTGGGGCTGGGTGGGGAGGGGCTGGTCACCCCATGGTTCCCTTATAAAACTCAACGTTTAACCTACTCACGCCGGCTTGTGCCCGCCCTCACAGTCGCGCATATTTGCGGAACACACCACGCCGCCGTTGACCCTGGCCATTGACCGAGCAACCCAACGTGTTCCTACCAGCTCCCTCCGCAGGAATGTGTTTATTAACGTAATGTGTGCAAAGCATAGTGATCGCTTGCATGCACACTTTAAGGGCAATCTGAGGTCCAAATATGATTTAAAATTGGTCAAGGATGTTACTGTTATTGAATCCTAAACATTTTCGCTTGGACACGACAGAGATTAGGGTGCTGGCATGGAGGGGCGTGGGGGATTTCATCAGGGACAGGGCGGAACTTCTTATGATATGGAACTTTACATGTGTTTTACGCAACTCTCTGCAGGTCTGCAGATACTTCAATTCTGGTTTAATCGTCTAATATTGTTCATTACTGTCAAACTGTAGCAGAAACAAAAAAAAAACTCACATTCGTTCATAAGTCAATATAAGACTGCCATAAAAGCAAAATAATAATATACAACGTTCAAGCAGCACATGGATTCTAAGGCAGTGTTATTGACGACAATGTTTTTGGTTGTGCTTGTGGGCCATCATTAACACGGGGTTTACCATGAAGAGAGGTGCTGAAATCACGCCACATTCCAGCGAATTTAAAACCATCTTATTGAACTTTGTGGTGCGTGTCGAGATAATCAATCGGCCCATTGCTCGTTTTGTACGCTGCTTCTGAACTTTCTTCATTCCACGGCTCACCCCTACCCCTCTTCCCCCTTATCTCTGGCTCCATGTGTCTTTGTCTCTGTGTGTGTCACCCAAAGACAAAGATCCACCAGTTCAATTCCCACTTTCGGTCAATACTAGTGATGATAATTATCTGAAACAGCCTTGAGCCTCCCCTAGGTCGATGCAGTAACTGGTGTATTGTGTAAACATCGTCATCGGGGAGATAAAGGTGGCCGGGCGCTGTGCTGGCTACACTTGCCCCCTCCTCCCCAGTTGCATGACCCTTTTAAGTTACAAAGACAAATGTCCACCACATAGCCTTAAATACTGCTGGGGCAAGTGCTGTTGGCGAGCACTAATCAAGGCCAGCACAGCACACGAGGGTGTGAGTGACCAGCACCACACCCGGACGCTTTTGTTTCCAATGGCGATGTTTGCACATCGCACCAGGTACCCATTTGAGGCTGAATCTACCTAGGGGAGGCCCATAACTGGTTCAGTTAATCGTCATTGGTGTTGGCTGTAAGTGGGAGTCGAACTCAAGTCACTACGCTACCGCTCCCCATATCTACATCACCTTTATTTAATAAATCTGAGTTGCTCACTGTGATAAAAAAAATTAAAGAATAATTCATCTCTCGCTCTCAAAAGCCTCTCCTCTGAGTAATTCGTGCACAGAAACATTGAAATGTCACGCAGAAAGCAAGGGCAATAAGTCTACATTTGATTACTAAATGTTTGCCTCGAAGCAGCAGTATGCTAATGTAGTCCACTTAATTATCAAAACCATAGTAAACGGAAGCATACAAATAATAACCTTGTTTAGTTATTACTTTCCCATCTCTTTTTTCGTAGAAAGGCTGTCAGTAAAGAAACTACCTTTTGAAGATGACCCACACAAAACAAACGAACCATCGCTAACAGCACTGCAACAAATAGGGTTCACTGCAACAAATAGGGTTATATACAAAGGGAAAACAACAACAAAAACCTGAGAATTCATTTCACAGTTTCAGAATCGATGTGACGGTTCCAAAATGCAGGAATCGGTAATCAATTTCCGAGGAATGGAATGCACGGATTGCCACGTAGGGAAGGAAGTACAAACGGCCCAGAGTTCCAAGTCACCGCCTGGTAAATTTGCCATCTTGTCTCGGTTAAAGGGCGCAGACCTGTGGTTTCCCTACTGTTGGCGAAAGGGCCTCCCCCTCGAGTGAGCTTTAGAGGGGAAGGGAAGGGGGTTTACTCACCACGCCGACCAGACGTTGGAAGAGGTGCACGTACCCACCAACTTTTTACCCCACCACACACAACCTGCCGGCGAATCGACTAACTGTGGCATACCCATTAATATTGCTCAGTGGACAGAGGCTGAGAGATTTATGAAAATTACCCCATGTTTCAACTGCCATGCCAGGAGATCCAACCTAACCGGTGACCCTCTTTTTGCAACTCCAGTGTGCCACATATCGTACATCACGGTAGCTCACTTAGTTTCCCAGAGGTAAATATAATTTCCAGACATTTCTTTCAGTGTGGTAAATGTAAAAAAAATCAGATTTTCATGACCCGAGTTCACATATCACTTTTTCACTGATGTTAGCCGTGGCCTGTTTGATAAAATACAGGCTAGTACTTCGGAAACATAATACATCCCTACAATGTTCCAGGATCATTCTAGAAAGTTCGGTGCATTACCTTTATCTTATGCCTATATTTGTGCGTTTTTCCTGGCCTTGAACTTTTACTGAAACAAAGTACAATGTACCCTTTGTTATTGCAAGGACAGCAGATAGCTTTAAACCAATGTATGACAAAGTAAGCTCGTAAAAGTTGCTCAACTTTAATGGGTCAAGGTTGTTGGCTTTTTTCAAAGATGGAATGTTTGTGCCACATTGCAGCAGTACGGGATTATGATGGTTAAAATATCTTGCCTACGACAGACGCAATTTGACACGTATGCTTTAATAATCTAAGAGAGGGTGATGCGGGGACATCAGACCATGGAATTTGTAAGATGCACATAGAGTAGCAGTTGAAATATAGTATGATAAATCGCTTATAGAATGTTCTGCAGAAATTGACTGGCTCGAAGTAGACTGGAGGGCGTGGTTACAATATTGTTTTCAAACAAAAACAGATAAACAGTACCAAATGAAACATTTAAACTCGCTGTTTCAATTGTATTTTATTGTCGCTTTTTCAGGTGGAATGCAAAAATCGTTATGGACCTATGTGGAAGTCAAAATTTGGGCCGTACACGGTGATTAGCGTGGCCGATGCAGACCTCATTGAGCAGGTTATCCGCCAGGAGGGGAAGTACCCCATGAGGTTCGACATGAAGAACTGGACCGACTACCGGGACCTGCGCGGATACGCCTATGGGCCCTTGACCGAGTGAGTCTAACACCACAACCTCACCCTGAGCAATGACTGTAGCTGGTCATGAGGTTATTGGTATCATATTTTTGGTCGGTGTAAATACCGGTCATTATTTGATTTATAAAGGAAAGCCTTTGACCAACAGTGACTGCAGAGTTTTCAAAATTCTCACCATTCTTCGGATTCAGCACAAACGCCTTCGACATAAATGCATTCTGAGTAACGTTAAACCGTTTATTAAATGGAACAGTTATATGCATAAAGCATAACTCATTACTCCGTGTATAATTTTATGCATTGTATATTCAAAGAACTTGCCAGCAAAAGAGCCTTCCCACAGTACAGCAAGTATACATATTCTTATCTTATATAGATGTATATGCGCCTTGGTTCAAGGCGCTTTCAATAATTATTGAATTATACGTTAGATGATAGTGGTTAAATTAAAGAGTGGGGTTATTGAAAGTGGTGGTGTAGTTATGGTGACAGTAAGGAAGACAGGTGGGTGTGGTTAAGGAAGAGTTGGGGTAGTGATAGGGGTTAGTATAGGCCTGGTCGTAACAATATGTAAATTGGTTGTTTACATTGGCGTTTTGCAAATTGCATTTGCTTGATTTTTTATTATTATTCCATTTTCACTTGTAGTTTTCCAGACTTCTCCTTTGCAAGGGACTTGCTGTCTCAACAAACTCCTACAGCCTCTGTCTAATTATTTACCTCTCAACACATCATCCCCTACAACTCTTTATAAGAAAGTGAGGATTTATCCAATGTGTATCCTCCACGGACCCACTCTGCCTGCGTCACAGTGCAGACCAATTCAGGCCCACTTGTCCTCATGGCTGCCCCCTCACCACGTTGCCCGTGTCTCCGCAGGAATGGATCCAAATGGAACCACCTCCGTTCCGTGCTTAACCAGAAGATGCTGCGGCCGCGCGACATGATGGCGTACGTCAAGCCCATCAACGAGGTGGTGACCGACCTGCTGGCGCGGCTGCACATGCTCTCGGAGAGCAATGGCGGCATGGTGAACGACCTTGCCAATGAGTTTTACAAGTTTGCCTTTGAAGGTACTGAAACGATTCTTAGTGTTTTTCATGTACAGACTTTTTGATAATCTGCTGCTGCTGCATGAGAGCCTACCCATGCTGTGTGGGATGTGGAAAGAGCACTAACAGGGCACATTGCGTCGAAGGAAATAGGTTTACCGATTTCAGAAAGAAAATCGCTTTCGAATTACTGATACACATACACACGTCATATCCTATCACATGCAGCTAACGAGTGCATGAACATTGTTCCAGTAAGATTATCTGCACTCTTAATGATTTATTTGGGAAACTCTATTTCCAGTTCGGTTTGGAGAGCGTTTATTGTATAGCTCAGAGCTTAGATTCATATCATAAAGTCAAAGTCAGACCAGGGTTAATTCAGGCCATCATCTTTCTGCGGTCAGTGAAATAACTACACTGGGAGAGCACTGATTGATGGGATACGTTACAAATGTATTGGTTCTCATCATAGGATTTTTGAATTTCCACCACTTTCTCAGGACCTCAAATGGCAATGAGCACTATGTTTAACAACACAAAGATATGCATTGCTTGTAGAAAATCTATTTTTCTTATGCAGACCGCCATCTCCAAAGAACTGAAGAAATGTGTAGCCTAAATTTCGACTTAAAGCTTTCGTGACTGCAGGGATTCATCTTCTTGGTTCTTTCGGTAAAGTCACGTAGAATGGAAATAATAAAATAATAAAAAAACATAATAAATCAATTCTCACGACGTTTCGGCCACAACGTAAGCAGCCGTCCTCAGGTGAAGACCAGGTCTGTCGGGGAGACAGCGTCTGAATGTCTCCCCGACAGACCTGGTCTTCATCTGAGGACGGCTGCTTGCGTTGTGGCCGAAACGTCGTGAGAATTATTTTATTATGTTTTATTATTTATTATTTTATTATTTCCATTCTACGTGGCTTTACCGAAAGAACGAAGAAAATGTGTAGCCATTTCGTAGTTTTTAGATTGTCAACTCGAAAATTTGAGAAATTATGGCAAATTTGAATGAAAATAAACGTATCTGTTGTGATAGGTTTTATCGGCAGTCACAGATTTGAATTCTTGATCTGCCAACCTTCCCAGGTAGATGCACCTATCATGTTGGTCAGCAGCCCTCTGCTACGAACAGTTTCCCATACATTGAGACCATGTTACCTAACTCCACAAAAACATAAGAGAAAAATCTATGACCTACAAAAATGATAGGTGGTGAAAAACAAAGTGAGGAACATTCTCCTTTCTAGAGTGCAATCTGGATAGTGACACCCATGCCCTCTTCCCTTTGTCCTCCCGTCCTTCCTCTGTCGACATGAACTAATCTGCTGTGCAATGCAAGGCATCTCTACCGTGCTGTTTGAGAAACGGCTCGGCTGTCTGGAGCAGCCGGTCCGGGAAGAGACGCAGGTGTTCATCAATGCCGTCAGGACTGTCTTTGTTCACTCGGAGAAGATATCGCTTATTCCCACGTGGATTCGAAATTTCCTGCCGTTATGGAAGCACTACTGCAACGCATGGGACGTGATCTTTTCATTCGGTAGAGTCCAATGCACACACCGACACGCAGACCAGTACACAATTTATGTTTAGAAACTGTGTTACTTAGAGCCTAAGAGCCACACTGCATTTTCTTCTTCTTGGTTCTTTCAGTATAGTCACGTAGAAGGGAAATAATAAAATAATAAAAATAAAACATAATAAAATACAATTCTCACGACGTTTTGACCACAACGCAAGCAGCCGTCCTCAGGTGAAGAACAGGTCTGTCGGAAAGACAGCGTCTGAATGAAAAAACCACACTGCATTGTTGCATTTAAGTGTTTTCTATGGAAAAAAATACTTATTTATGCACGTGGAATAGCCACTCATCATTTAATATAACATTAATATGGCCCCTATTACGTGCTCCATTAGAGAGCACTGATATATATTATCATGTTCACATGGTATCTGTACTTCATCTGTTGAGCTATATATGGATTTTTGAAAAATGTACCCATATTTATAAGGTATTGCATTTTCTGGTTTCTTCCAAACACTCAAATATATCCTTCAGGATATTGGGCAGCTTTTTCGATCAGGGCTGTTCTGAGTCTTGGTTGGCCATTTAGTATTTACAAACACAATCACTTCCAATGACGTCATTGCACTGGGCATTTTATAATGTATGGGAGTGGCATCAGAGTACTATAACAAAAACATTCTCAAAATAATATGCCAGATCATAATTTTAAGTCTTATTTTCTCACGAAGGAAGCTTTAATGTCATGTAGCACAGCTACGGACATAGCTTAGTTACATATTTAAATTTAAGAGCGATAAGCTTTGTTGAACTAAACTATAAGTTATTAGTTTATTTAGAAAATAAGCACTATTGGTTTGCATAATGCCATTTTGACAAGCCAGCATTGTACATATGTCACACCGAGCAGGAATGAAAGAGATAGACAAGAAGATGATCAAGATCAGCGAGATGGTGGCACGAGGCGAGCCTGTGGAGGGCGAGTACCTCACGTACCTCCTGTCTAACGGCAAGCTGACTGAACACGAAATCCACGGCAGCATCGCCGAGTTGCTGATGGCTGGAATTGACACCGTGCGTGACCACTGCATCATCTCTTACACAGAAGGCGCAAGACACCAACCAAAAATATTCAAGCGCAGGGCATGGGTGATGCAGGCATTTGAGGGAGCGCACTGCTGAGACTCCAACTGCCACTTCATTTTTGCGTTTGTCACATCTAAGTGCTGTCTCCCACGATGAGACACAGTTCACTGGGCAGCTGCACTTCGCCTGTCTGAGTAATTTTAAAGGGCGAGGCATCTTTCCACGTTGTTCTATTTTCGCTTTGGCTCTGATGCATGAATGGTCTACGGAGGCAGACGGAAAAATCTTGTGTGCATACAAGGGTGCAATTTTGTGTGAATCCACATGAAAGGCAGTAACGTTTCAATTGCAAACATGATTCATAAAAACACATTGGAAAATGTTATTACCAGTCCTTGTTACGGGACAGACCTTGCTGCAAACAGAGTAAAGTTCATGTGTGAATACATGTTATTTATTTTATGATGGTGAATAACTCTTTTCGCTTTGATATAATGTGAAGAGAGATTACCAGTGCAGCTTGTGTTTTTCCTGATAGACGTCCAACACCATGTCCTGGGCCCTCTACCACCTGTCAAGAGAGCCCCACCTGCAGGAGAGGCTGCACCAGGAGGTCGAGGGCGTCTGTCCAGGGGACACCATCCCCAATGTACAAGATCTGGCCAAAATGTCATTCCTTAAGGCTGTCATCAAAGAGACTCTCAGGTGAATCGCCACACTCGTTTGTGGTCGATGGGAGAATTCGCTGGAATGATCGCAACGTGGCATACAGATGATGATGGCAAACATGAAAACCAATATGTATTGTCTGCTTTTACAAGTACTTATTTTATATCATTTACAAGTACAGTAAAACCTTGGATTGCGAGTAACTTGGTCTGCGAGTGTTTTGAAAGACGAGCAATAATTGTAAATAAATATTAATTTGATAAACGAGCGAGGTCTTGCAATACGAGTAGTACGTGTATACGCTTTGTCTGCGAGCGTCACGTGATCACAACTGATATACGAGTGATTGGATTACAAACACGTTTCCGGAACGAATTATGCTCGCAATCCAAGGTTTTACTGTACTTATTTAATATCATTGTATATGTAGGACTTAACTGCCATTAAAGAAAACTAGATCCCTTTGTGTCCTGAATTATATTAAAATTATCTTTCACGTCATTGTAAAGGACATCAACTTTACAGCATAAATCATACATTACAATGGAAATGTACATAACCAAGGTTACAAAACCAAGGTTGCAAAAAACATTAACAATTAAACTGCTCACTGGATGAGAGTACAAGGCATTTATACCAATGTAAAGGTTACTTGAGTGCACTGAATTAATGGAGGTCACATGTCCTGAAGCCAATGCCCATCACTTCCAAAGCTCTCTCTCTGTCCATGTTTGGTGAAAATATTTCTAGAGGCTTGTTGAGTACCACAAAACTAAAACAATTGCAATATCGTACAGATCACGGAATCCAAAACCAAGATGAAGTTAAATGTAAATAGAGAACATTTAAGTGAGTTACAAACGAGATATAAAATGAAAGGAAATACAAAACAACATTCGTGTGCATTCTTCTACATGTGTTTTTCAATTTGTGCTGTCCAGCATGTGGAGTGAAACTTCACACATCATGTTGATCAGCATACGGTAGAACCGGAGAGGCATCTGCGTGGGAACTGAGTGCTCATTGTGCATGTGTGTGTGCAGATTGTATCCAGTGGTGCCTTCGAACTCGCGCCTCATTGGGGAAGGAGGATCGAAAGTGGGCGGATATGTCTTCCCCAAAAACGTGAATGTGTAGATAGATTATGCTCACACCTCCACACTCATCACACTCACACAGGCATGTACTCACGTAATAGTCTGTCTTGACACCCTGCAGTCTACAGACAATTGTGCATTATTGTAACATTGTAACTGCATGTTAATCCAAGCTTTATTTAATTACGATTCAATTGTAAAAACTATGTGATTGCATTTCCAATTAAAACATAATCTTTAAATATCTCTACATTTTAAAATATTTTATATTAACAATTTGCTTATCTTACATCAGTGCATGCTACAAAATACAATATAATACTGTGTACCGGAAAGCCACCGGGCCAGACGGAAGCCAAGTTGAAAATCATGCAAATCAAGATCCTGCCGAGGGAGATTCTGGATATAATCCCGAACAAGATTGAGCAGTAAATTGCGGATAAGTAGGTGGGATTTTGGTCACACCGCAGCCCGTGAAATCAGATCACCAACCTCCAGATCAACATGGCAAAATCCAGAGAACACCAGCAGTCACTGGACATGTGCTTCGTGGACTTCGCACAGGTTTTTGACTAAGTACAGCATTTAAAGCTGTGGTGAATTATGCTGGAAATGGGTTATTTACCACACTTGCATCTTCTTGAGATAACGAACAAAACCAGAGTCGTATCCGACTCAATCCGGATCCATGAAGAGGTCCAGCAGGGCTGTGTCCTCTCGCCATATCGGTTCAACATCCTGGAGGACATGGCCATGAGAAAGCCCCTTGAAGTTTTTAAATGAGGGGTACTCATAGGGGGCCAAAGGATCTCCAACTTGAGATATGCTGCGAACGACAGAGTCCTGGCAAGCTCGACAGATGAACTCGAGGAACTGATTGATCGTTTAGTCACAGCCGAGAAAGAACATAACCTTGTTATCAATATCGACAAGACTAAAATCAATATCAAGGACAGAATTACAATACGCATCTACGTTGAAGCCAAACAATTGGAAAAGGTAATAAAGTTGCGTACCTCAGCTAAGCCAATACAGAAGATGCAAGGTGTATAGAAGGCGTCTGGGAATGGCTCGCCCTGGGTACGGCAGTCATAGCTTCTTTCAAGCCGATCTGGCGTGGATGGAATATCGCACTTCCAACCAAGAATCACCTGCAGAAAGGGCTTGTGTGGCCGGTAACATTGTACGGATTTAAGGGTTGGTCACTTAGGAAAGCTGAAGAGGTCAGGATCGAGGCCTTAGTGATGAAAGGACTCCATTGCATACTGAGGATCCCCTTTACAGGCCGCTGAACAAATACAATGATCCTAAATGAAACCGACTACAAAAAGGGGTTCCCATAATTCAATCTATAAGCGAAATATGTTCCTGAGACACGTCCTGCAGAGACCCACTGGATCTGTCTCGGTGACAAGAATGAGAGTCCAAGGTGGACCGAGAAGAACTCGGATAGTTCATCCCGCAGCCAACAATCTGATTGAAACAATGTATTCGTGCCATGTGCAATTCATTTACTTGATGTTTCAAAAATACACTGTCCACAACTAATCTTTCCAAGATTATTCATAATAATAATCTACAACATTAAACATTTTCAACTTGCCTTAATTGCTGATTAATATACACAAATAACAATAAAATACAAATATGTACAAATGTTTTCGAATTTCGAATTCTAAACATTTATGCCACAACTAATCTTTATCTCTGTGTCTTCTCCTACATTGCATGCACATGTTCTGCCATTTCACTCAGACACTGTTTCAATTGTGCCACTACGCGGTGTCACACAATCCTGAAATATTCCCGGATCCGGAGGCATTCAAGCCCGAGCGCTGGCTGCGTAAAGGCACCATGTTGGCGCACCCCCCTTTCGGATCCATTCCGTTCGGGTTTGGCGTGCGGGCATGCGTCGGGCGGCGCGTGGCTGAGCTGGAGATGTACCTCACCTTATCCCGTGTAAGTTCGTGAACAGAGATCCTTCACAAGATTCAAATAAAATGTGTTTTTCAGATGTGAATGATATGAAGAGTGCTTGTAGGCCATTAGATGTATTACTTTCTGTGGTGTTTGGGTCATGACGATCTACCTCTGGGTTCTGGTTAATTCATAATCAAGATCGAGATGCCATCTTGACCACACCAGCATTTTTACTTTCTTCCAGATCCTGAAGCTATTGCAGAATAGACACACGGACCTCGAATATATCCCCTTAAACCAAATACCACCATCTGGCCTTCAGTCTTTCCCATAGTTGCCAGACTTGTGGATATTTACAATTCTGCCTTGGCAAATCGCCTTTTCCCCTTCTCTACACTTTAGGCAAAAACGGCTGCACTAGGGTTAATCTAATCTACAACACTGCCATGATCTCTTCTGAACTTTGCACCGCATATCCAGTATTGCCACTAAATTCCTAGCATCTCTGTCGGATATATGCACTCAAATGCAAGCAACTTTTGTTTGAGCAAATTATTTATGATAAAGCTCTCTGACCCATGCAATAATTATTACAGATCGCATTTCTACCTAAAAGCGCATTTCTACCTAAAATGCCATTTCTTTTATGCTTGGACGTATTTCTCTTCTCTTAGAAAGTGGTTTCCATAGCCATCCGAAAATTTGGCTTGCAAAAGCATTGTGCCTTTTGATTTTTTCACAACAGTTTTTGTCATGCCTGTAAGTCGCTTAGTGTGCTTATTTGGTTATCTCCCTCATGAAAGTTTAATAATATTAATGCTCGGTAGTGTAGCAGTTAGCACGCTGCGCTACAAACCCGGCCACCCGAGTTCGACTCCTACTCACGCCAGCATCAGTGACGATTATCTGAACTGATCATGAGCCTCCCCTGGGTCGACTCACCCTCAAATGAGTACCTGGTGTGGTGTGTAAACATCGCCACGAGGGAGACGAAGTCGGCCGGGCGTGGTGTTGACCACATGCCTCCTCATGTTCAGTGCTAGCCTTCGTAGGTGCTTGCTAACAGCACTTGCTGCAACAGTCTGTTAAGGCTATACGGGGGTTTTGTCCTTTTTTTTTCATACTCCACTTAATAGCTACCCCTCCTCGTGCTTCAGACTGTCAATAACCCACATACGTATTACTAGTTTGACATATAACATACTTATAGGCTTAATTTAGGTTTTGGTATAACACTAACTTATTTCCTTTGATTGTGTCTTTCTTTGTCTCTGAGCCTGGATTTCCTGTTAAAATGAAGTACTGTATACCAAGTAAGGAAGTTGGTTATGTTTACCGCTTGGCGGACCGACTTGAGTGTTGCCGGTGTTAATGTGTGTGCCACTGCGTCTCCTGTCTCTTGCAGTTGATCAAGGAGTTTGAGGTTCAGAGGGACCCGAGTCAGAAGAAGATTTTACCACGCACGTGCACAGTCATGATCCCCAGTGAATCTATTAATCTTAAGTTCATTGCACGCAAGTGAGGATGTCTCTTGCTCAAAATGTTTGTGCAGCATATTTTACACCTTGCAGGGTGCAGCAAAATTGGCCTGACCAAGTGACGTTTTACATGTGCATTTTGGGGCAGACATTCGCACGTTTGTGTCATCAGCACTGCATACACGTTTTATCTCCATTATATATAACGCAAAGTTGTGAATGTGTGTCTGTTCAAAATGTTTAGCATACTTCCCGACATGCAACAAACTGGAAATTTTCCATGTGGGTACTTTCCAGACTGTACACCATGCAAAAATTATGAAAATACACTTTAGTTTTTTGGGGGGGGGAGGGGGGGGGGCTCAATAATGCAGATATTTTTTGCACGGCAAGTGAGCTGTGACGTCAAATCTGTCACGTGACCCGCGCACGTGGAAGCGTAACGCATTGTAGTGTAGTGGTTAGCGCGCCGCGCTACGAACCCGGTGACCCGAGTTCGATTCCCGCTCACGGCCACCACCGGTGACGATTATTTCAACCGGTCCTGGGCCTCCCCTAGGTCGACTCAAACGAGTAACTGGTGTGGTGTGTGAATATCGCCACTGGGGAGACAAAGGCGGCCGGGTGTGGTGCTGCCACCCACCCACTCGTAACATATAAAGAGTGCTTTAATGATGAACACAATGCATATTTTCATTTATGTATATTTCAACAAGTTTTTTTTTTTTGAACGTGAAGTTAATATTCACAAAATACATTTAAATTTTACCAATCCTTTATTGCATTGAACAAAACTATAATGATTTATATATGTATTTGAATATACTATACTGATTTATATTTAATTTCGGGAAAATGTCAAAACTGGGTGGTTTTTAACTTTTGCCGACAAAACTGGATCCCAAATGTCAAAACTGGGTGCACCCTGGGTGGCCAAAAACTTGAGTTTTGGACACTCAGGGTGCACCCAGTTTTGACATTTGTCAAATACACTTGATAATTGTATACTAGCACAGTGTGCCAGCACCCCATTCATCCAAACACTTGGTATTTGTATACTGGCACACTGTGCCAGCACCCCATTCATCTAAACACTTGGTATTAGTATGCTGGCACAGTGTGCCAGCACCATATAACTACACACACTTGATATTTGTACGCTGGCACATTGTGCCAGCACCCCAACGATACGATGCATGTGCGGTGTGTTACCAAGTCTCTGCCATCAACACGACATGGACCTCGGTTGCCGGTATCGAGCTGCCCATTGCCGAGGAGCTGCAACGCGACAACACCATGATGCCACCTCCTCGCCAGAAGAAGGCTGGCCGCCCGAAGAAGCGTCGGATTCGCAACCGTGGCGAAGGTGGCCCATTGGGCCTCACGCGGTGCTCCTTCTGTCGCGCCAAGGGCCACAACAAGCGCTCTTGCCCGTCGAAGTAGTTATATATATGTAACAAACATGTTTTGTTCTAAGTGTGCAGCACCATACTTCTCGACGCAAACACTATCTACCGTTGTTCTACTGTAGTAGGTGTAGCATGCAAGCTGGCACACTGTACCAGTATACAAATGGGAAGTTCGTGTATGTTCGCGAGCTGAAAGTGTTACTGTAGTTGCAAGCTGGCACACTGTGCCAGTATACATATGGCAAGTAAGTGTTACTGTAGTAGCGAGCTGGCACACTGTGCCAGTATACAAACGGCAAGTAAGCGAGCTGGCACACTGTGCCAGTATGCAAACGGGAAGTTTGCGGTGCAAGGTATGGAACATGAGCCACGAGAAACATCATTTGGAACGCTCTAAATCTGTGGCGACATATGGATGAATAACGCAAGGACCTAAACGTGTACAAAATGATACATTAAATCGTACACCTTCTTCACCCAGTTTTGACATTTGTCCACATTGAACATCACCCAGTTTTGTCATATCAAAAAGCACCACCCTGTTTTGCCTGTCGTTTTCCAAGACCACCCAGTTTTGACATTTGGGATCCAGTTTTGTCGGCAAAAGTTAAAAACCACCCAGTTTTGACATTTTCCCATTTAATTTCATACAACGGTAATGAAATGTTTACTCAGACTATGTTTGGGTTAATTTCTCAAAACCATGTTGCTAAAAATCTTAAGTTTGGGATAAAAGTGTAATTTTTTTAGGGTTAATATTTTCATACTGACGTGATTATATATAATGTAACAACAGCTGAGAAACCATTTCATTAGCAGTTCACCAAACCCGCATTTCGACACAAGTGCCAGAAAGGGCTGCATTACGTTTAGCTGTCACCGTGAACTGAAAGCAGCACTTGTGAAACTACTAAACATCTTGTGCACATAGCAACGTCCAATGTTAGCTTTTGTAATGTATAGTAATGCCATAAAACCTAAATACGTTGTTATTGAGATGTACCATTGAATTTGTTCTATGTTTTGCTTGGTTATTTACTAATTCTCTATTAACCAATTCTCTATATTGAAATGTCATTTATAGACAGTATGATTTACATATAATAAATACACGTTTGTATGTTCCGTGTCGACTGACTTCGGGAAAGGCTCCGATGATTTAAGAGTGTTTGGTCAGAGTTATGGGGGTGGTTTTAATGCTGCAGGGGTGCGAGAGCAAGCTGGAGCGACTACCCACGACGTTAGTTTGTAATTGGATGGTCCATTTCATAAGGTCCATCCATTTATCCATCAAAATGCAAGGGCCTCTTGCACTCACAAGTGGCTGTTGTGTCTCTGCATGTGTGTACATCTGAGCCGTCCAATGTGTTTGAAAGCCGTATTCGGTCCTAAGTAGGGAAATATTCCTCACCCCCGATTTGGTACGGGGTAGGTTGGGCTATATAAGTAGGGATGGACAGCACATGGATACTTCAGTGACATCAGTGTTTTGGTTCTGTTACATCAACGTTTTGGCGTTGATGTTGGTCCCTTCAATAGCATCGAAATATCGATATTTTCATTTTGATGTTTTGTTTTCAATGTTATTCACATTGAAAAAAAATTAAACTTGTTTGTTATGCAGTAAAGTTGCTGGTTTATAACAGAAACTGGCCCCTTCACCACAGTGCCGGATGATCCTAGTGGCAAAAGTAGCTACATGTGTAGTAGCTACATGTGTAGTAGCTACGGGCCCCGCACTTTCAAGGGCCCCGCGCTAAATGCTTTCAAGCTATCAATTCCGGTTCAATGAATCTGCACTTGCTCTATTACTATAGTACTATACTGCCTTCAACTTTTACGAACGACTGAGTGTTTAATGTTAGCGATTTGTCGTATTATGTCTGTATAGCAAATAAAAATGCAGTTGATTTACTATGCAAGTAAAAAATTTGTGTTTTCATTTTAGTTTTTTACTTATTTAAGGCCCCTTTATAACATGCTACGGGCGTACCGTACTGAACTACTGTACTGTGTTTAAAGTGAACATCTTTAATTACAGCCCTGAGCCCGTGGTGGGATTTTCTCTGGTTACATGGCGGGGGGCCGAGTCTAAACCACGTAACGACCAGTTGTCTATCTCCACAAAAGTTGTCTTTGTCCACAAAAGTGGCGCCACTCACTCCCTTTAGAGAGCCCCACCCCTCCACAGTGTGAATAAAGCACAAGCGACGGCGTTGGGGCAGAAGGCTGGAATGTGGGGGCGGGGCCTCGGGTGGGGGTCGGGGTGAGATGGGCGGGGCATCATCGCCTTTGGGGCGGGGCTAGAATATGAAGGCGGGGCCTCGCGTGTAGGGGGCGGGGCTAGAGTATTGGGGGCGGGGCATCGCGTGTAGGGGCGGGGCTAGAGTGTTGGGGGCGGGGCCTCGCGGCTCGGGGGCGGGGCTAGAATATTGGGGGCGGGGTATCGCGTGTAGGGGGCGGAGCTAGAGTATTGGGGGCGGGGCTAGAGTATTGGGGGCGGGGCACCGCGTGTAGGGGGCGGGGCATCGCGTGTAGGGGGCGGGGCTAGAGTATTGGGGGCGGGGCTAGAGTATTAGAGGCGGGGCCTCGCGTGTTGGGGGCGGGGCTAGAGTATTGGGGGCGGGGCATCGCGTGTAGGGGGCGGGGCTAGAGTATTGGGGGCGGGGCACCGCGTGTAGGGGGCGGGGCATCGCGTGTAGGGGGCGGGGCTAGAGTGTTGGGGGCGGGGCATCGCGCCGGGACCTCCTCGGGGGGCGAGGCCCAAAGAGCCGCGCTGCACGCCGGGAAACTGTCAAGGCGGCCCCCACGCTTGCCTAGGCCTCCTGCAGGAGATTCGAACTTAAATCGGGACGCACGAGGTTTGCGAGCGGGTCAAGCGGGTTTAAAGCGTGTCGTTCCGCGGCTGAATGCAGTTTAGTCGCGTTCACTCCCATCGAGATCGCGGACGGTGGCACTTGCCTTTACCGGCAGGTGACGTCATGCAATTCAATATTCTTACACTGACAGTATCACCGCATGGTTACACATTACCGCTGTATTGTTACGCTTCTACGCCTGTTGTTGGCCAAGTGGCAATGTGTTAATGTTACTCAACTCGCAACGTAAAAGGTTCGGATTTTAAAGCCTGATCGACTCGGCCCAATCGGCATTCTCTCGGGCGTTAGTAAAATGAGTATGCAACGTTGTGGGGGGGGGGGCAAGCCAACATTGGTCCTATTCTGGAGAGACCAGGCTTCGTCACGAAAATGTGCCGGGCCCCCTACTGGCTCAGGATCGTAAATGGAGTTGAGCGCACCGCTCAAAAGAAACTCGAGACTTGCATGTCTCTAATTCAAGGACGGCTTGACCGCTCGTTCGACAACTAATTCCTTTTAATCTTCGTAAACAACAAGTTGCGTTGAATGTAATTCAAAGGCACGCGCTGTGCTGTTCGGAGTTAAAATGAACGCGGTGGATTAATGCACGGCCCCTCTGCGCTCTCAGTCTTCCTTGCGTCGCTTGCACAGCGGCGCTAATTTATCCATAATGTTGATATTCAACAGCACGGATAAATGGGGGGCTGCCACCTGTTGTTTTTTTTTTTGCAGGGATCATTCTCATTTTGAGGTAGTTTAAGTTTGTATAGAATATTATGAGTCCCATTTTTTTCAGTTGCATAATAATACACTACCCAAGACAGTGCATACACATGTAATTATTCCATCTTCCAGAATTGAGATAATTAGTATTTTCATTTGTCTCGGTTTGTACCTCAGAGAAAGCAACCTGAGAAGGCCGCGAGACTATTCTACGAATGGCTTGGGCGGCTACACTTAAACACCTTCCCAGGAGATTCTGGGCACCCCTCCGAGCGTCTCTGCAGTCCGTATTGCTGGACTATCCCGTGGAAAGTGGCTTCTCTTATTCACGGTGCCAAACCGTTCGTGGGTATCGCGTTTCGGCGCGGGCTCTGGCCGGTCACAACAAGTGGTCCAAAGTGAAGAACATCAAGGGCCCTAAGGACACTGCGAGGTCATTGGAGTTCAGCAAGTTGGGAATCATGATCCGCCATGCGGTGAAGGGTGAGTGCATTCTTAATTTTGGAGCTTTCGTGACTGCAGGAATTATTCTTTGGTTCTTTCGGTAAAGTCACGTATAAAGATAAAATAATAAATTAAATAATAGCATACGACGTTTCGATTGCAACACAAGCAATCATCATCAGGTATAATTAAATAGCGACATAGAATATAACCAGAAAACTATAGACAGACATATAAGCAGACAGATATCACCAAGATACATAGAGAGAGTAACACAGGTACAGAGAGTGAGATCGTCTCTGTGGGGTGACCTTAAATAGACAGAGGGGGGCGGAGGCAGAGAGAGGGAGGGGTTAGAGAAAACATTTTTACATGTCAATGAGTACGAAGAGACGCGTAGTAAAGTACGCAGGCTTGAACATTAGGAGAGAGGGAGTGCATTCTCCACACAGGTGATGTTATTAGTCATATCTGCTTTGCTGTGGGTCGGAGTGGACACGACCAAGTTTCAAGTGAGAGCTTTGAAAATTGAAAACTATAATCTTTGCAGAGGGTGGACCAAACCCAGACATGAACTCAACACTGGCCAGCCTGCTTGAAGTTTGCCGTTCCAAAAACATGCCCAAAGCCACCTACGAGACGGCAATCAAGGGCGCGGTGAGTAATTAAACCAAAACACAATTTTAACTTTTTCCACAATCAAATTACCTGTAACCATTGCCCACCATCATGTGAATTTATCCGTAAATCTGTGGAGCACAGGATCCAGTTACACGTTTTCAGTAGAGGGAATTTGGCAATTCACTCCCAATTACTGGTGGGTTATCGTTTCATATTTTAACATTAAAATATGCCTAGAAAGACACAGACACAGAAAATTGCACGGAAACAGACGGAGACACAAATATACGGCGACAGAGCGACGCATGTTTTTGAAGAAACGCATGTTTTTGAAGAAAAGCATGTGTCAGAGTCCCCTCGCTGTGCTTTGATACTTCAAATTGACGATTTTTTGTGCATAAGTGGAGTCGCGTGGAAAAATTCTCCAAATTATCCGTAATTATATGATTTTTTCCACGGATAAGTGGAGTAAATATGCCAATAACCCAGCAGATGTGATGTGCATTATTGATCCCCCACATGACAAAGTTGTAACAATTTCACATTTACGTGCAACAACGTGGTATTTAACGGAGACCATCTCCCCTTCCTCTCCTGCCACCTCAGGACAAGAGCAAGCCTCTGTCAATCATTAATTTTGGGGTGCGTGGACCAGGAGGCTTCGCACTGTTAGTGGAGACTTGCACAGACAATTACAAAAGAACCAACGGCGAAATCCGCAACCTTGTGAACAAAAATGGGTAAGCTAAAGCACTCTATTACAAGAATTCCGTTCAAGGTTAGATTGCAACAAAAAGTTTAACTTTACAAAGTTTCCCTTAAAAGAAAGTTATTTAAATGTATTTTTTCTGGTAATCTTCGGCTTGAAATACTCTATAAATCGTGTGGACTGAAATTTTTCTCAATTATTATTTTTAGAAGTGTGTTTAAAGTGTTTTCATTTCTTGCTCTCTCTAAAGGGGGTCAATATTTGAAGGGGCAAAGAATAGCTTTGAGCAGAGGGGAGTGGTGACGATTCGGAAGGACAGTGACAGGAAGAACTTGGGTCTAGAGGAGGCACTGGAACTGGCAATCGAAGTGGGAGCCGAAGATGTCCGTGAGCAGATCAGCGAAGATGATCCAGTCAACCTCCAGGTGAGGTGCTCTGTCACACCTGCAACAATGGCACCAGAAGGTTGCCCAATAATAAAACGTTGCTTGCCAATTGTTAGTGAGCAGTGCACAGAGGTCACAATCGGGTACCCGATACCCGTACCCTACCCGATACCCGGCTACCCGTACCCGGCCGGGTAGGGGTACCCGTTTGCGACCCTGGTGCGGCCGGGTATGGGTAGGCCGTGAGTCACTGGTGAGTAACTGTTTGTCACTCATTTCCCAACATCTTGTTTCTTCTCACAATTCAAGTTCCTAGAATCAACCCACCCGCGCCTGCAACATGGCTTCATCCCAGAGGTTGCAATCGGGTACCCGATACCCGTACCCTACCCGATACCCGGCTACCCGTACCCGGCTGGGAACGGGTACGGGTACCCGTTTGCGACCCTTGTGCGGCCGGGTACGGGTAAGGAATCAAAACCCGTTTGCGACCTCTGGCAGTGCATTGTTTAAGTGCGATATCTTATGACAACTCAACTTTTCAGCTTATATCAAGAAAATGTGGGCAAAATATTATCCGGTCCAGATATTTAACATACAAATACGTCCAAGCACTTCATTGTTTATTGCAGTGGTGTTCTATTCATTATGCATATTTAAGCACAAAGTGTGCCATATTGTTTACTAGCTTTACTACCCGGCTTCGCCCGGGACTTGGATTCTTGTCTTGGATTATTACACGGCCTACGCGGAGGGTGGGGGGGATGCGTGACGTCAGCAGGCACACTGCGTAACGCTACCGCATGCAGGTGACATCACAGATGTGACGTCACCGCTCACTTGCCGTGCAAAAGATGTCCATTATTGCGCCCCCCCCCCCCCCCAAATACAAAAGTATTTTTATACTTTTTGCATTATGTACAGTCTTGAAACTACCCACGTGCCAAATTTCAAGTTTGTTGCATGTTGGGAAGTATGCTAAACATTTCGAACAGACACACATATTCACAAATTTCCATTTTATATATATAGAGATAATCAAAACGCCGAGAGCAAAACAGTATAAATCTTCTGTTGCTTTTGCATAATTATCAGCACAGACATGTCAAAATCTCAGCATTGCTCTTGCCAACGATGCGCATTTATACCGTTCTTGTGGGACTCAGTTCGTATGCGCAGTACAGTCAATGCGCGAGGTACGTGAACGCCTGATGTCCCTTGGCTTTACTCCGCTCTCCTCGGCATTGGAGTTCATACCGGTGCGGACTGTGGAGTTGAAGGGCGAGGAGATGGATGTGGCGGCACACCTCGTGCACCTCATGGAGAATCTGCCCGATGTCGTGCGAGTCTACGACAATGTCATCTCCATCGACAGCTGAGACCAGTGTTCTTGCTCAAACCCTGCAATTTCACCTTGGACACTTGAAGAACTTCACTCTTGTTTTAATTTTGCCAACTTCTGCATTTTTTTTTTCCTTGATAAAGGAACATCAGTACAGCTACAATAATTGCACTGCACCAACCTGTGTCCAAATGTAATATATATTGTTTTAAGGATTTTGAATATGGTGAGTGTAATACTATTGCTGCAATAAACAAAACAAATGAAACCTTTTTGAAATGTTTATAGATCTTTTAATACAGTATTTTAAATCTAACTTTGAGGTGTATATTCATGAGAAAATTAAAATCTCATATTTTTTCAATTAAACTTCATGATTGATGAGATGTACAATCAAGGAGAATGTCATATTTTTTGTGTTAAACTTCAGGCAATCTAGTATAGTATAGAGATATCAAGTTAGTGATTAGAGTATTCCAAAACTGGAAATCATGTGTGTTATGTGCTCAGTTTCCCTCAGTTTCCTGGAAACTCAAACACTGCAGCAGCTCCCATGCCAGTTCCAATGCACATTGAGACTACGCCATATGCCCTGGGGAGAGAAGACAAAAATAATAATTTTAGACTCAACCTCTGAATTATATTGCTGGGTACTGTGGCAGAGCATCAAACTTGCAATTTGGAAAGCTGACTAGGCCCAAATGAGCACTGTCCAAACTTGATTGAGCATGAGCACAATGATTTGCAAAAACAGCATTCAGCAGACAATGTTTTACTTGAGGATTTGTCGATCCGACAACATACTGCAATGAAGAAATATTCACACATTGGTTGCGGTGGTACAGTGGTTACAACACTGCTCTATGCACCTGGCGACCTGAGCTCGATTTCTGGTTATTTTTGGCATTACTAAAGAATGAGATAGTTGTGAGATTCCCCTGCCACTTTCACCAATCTACATTGACCAGTGTGTATGATCAAACAACCCCTATCCAGCAGTGAATTGCCAAGAGGCTGTACATTTTTTTGCATTATGGTAAGATGCATATAGAGTATAAGAGGAAACATTGCAAACAATTTGTTTTAAATCGTCTACTTTAACAGTGATCAATGGTCATATTAACCAATATGACATGGTGTGACAGACAAATATAGAAACTTCCCAGGGGGGCAGTTTTGAAATGTCATGCTTTTTAAATAAGGTCCACATTCATAAATACAACATTGCATGTGTTTTCTCTGGAAAATATGAATATTTACATTTTCAGAGTTTTAAGGGGCGGTGGTTGTGGGCTAGGTGAGCGATTGGCCCCATGACCCAACCCCTGGGATCTGCCACTGTGGCGTAGACATGAAGGTTATGTAATCCTGGTTAGGTGTGTAAACCTAGTTAAGCTTGTAATCCAGATTATCCGTGTAATTCCGGTTGGGTGTGTAATGCCGGTTAGATGTGGGGAGTGTAAAGGACGAGACCTGCGGCCACGGCGTCTCAGCTCGTGCAGGAGGGTGATGATCTGCCGCGTGCCCGTGCAGCCCAATGGGTGGCCCAGTGCGATGGCACCTCCATTGGGGTTCAGCTTCTCAGCGGGGATGCCCAGGCGCTTCACACAGTACGCCGCCTGCAGTGAAGGCACATCACCGGCCAAGCCAGATTGATGCTTCTGTTACTTTTGGCTACTGCGATTTTGACACGTTACAGTTTTTACGTCACCCTGACATCAGACAATGGGATAAACTAACGGGGTGGCTGAAAACAAACATCACTGCTGCGCACTGCATTGGATGTGACTCCTGGATTGTGATGACCTTTACTTGACCGGCACAATCATTTAAGGTTTTTTTATTAGTCACAAAATGTCAACACTGGAGATGTCGCAGCAGCACACAGCCCGTGCCAGTTTGACAAAAGAGCTGCTTCAGTCACCAAGGCTGCTGCTGGGAATCTTTCCCTGTAACTGCCACTGCAAGGGAGCTGCAGCATGAAACATTCCACAGGTTCTTTGAAGGGTCCCCATGAGCAATATATAAAACAAGGAAAAATAAACATGGTAGAACCTATATTTCGACTTATTCCAAATAAATGAAACCCACTACTTCTCAACTCACCTGACTGGCGAAGGCTTCATTGATTTCAAACACATCAACGTCATCGACTGTCAAACCTGTGGAATAAGATATACAGGGGAGTGTAAGAGATATCGAAAAGGTTTTCAGTGCAAAATCAGATAAGCTGAAAAGTATTGCAAGGCTGTTGTTTCAGATGAATGACCAGCAATATACATACACACTTAGGCATGTAAGGATTTTTTAAAAGATGAAAACAGGCACTTAATTTAGCATTTCAACACCAACACCTGTATCTTTTAACGGGCATTCATAAATAAGTTCTCACACCTAATGTTATCGACTGAACTGTTTGAAAAATAAGAATAACCTGTTTAACACAAACACCACACACTCCTAAACACATCCCGCACACCACAGATACACAATTGACACAACACACACGATCCAAGACACCCCAATACTCACCACATACACCAAATATAACATTTACCATTACCCAAGCCGTGTAATTGCTCTCTCTACACCAAATCAAAACGTGTCATGGTGTGCGCTGCGAATCCGAAGCTTCAGTGCCAGCACCGGGCGATAGGGTGGTGCGAGAGAGGAGCTGACTCATCTCTCACCAGCCTGGCTCAGGGCGGCCGGGATGGCGAGCGCGGGGCCGATGCCCATGACGTCGGGCGGCACCCCCACCACGGCGTAGCTCCGCAGCACCCCCAGCACAGGCAGCTCCAGCTCCCGTGCCGCCCTCCGCCGTGCCACCAGCACCGCTGCGGCGCCATCGCTCACCTGACTTGAGTTTCCTGTGCGAAGAGGAAATGGTTGGCCGGGTTTGAGGGCGCGCAGGATGCAACCGGCAGTAACGGCCAAGGAGCAATATGGCTCCTGCTTTGTTTTAAGTAGGCATGTGATGATTCAACCCTTGCCCACCCACTCACTACCACCCCCCCCCCCCACAATCAGGGATTCAAGAATGCCTCACACCATTTTCTGTCTTGTTTGAAGACTGACTAAAATTCCAGTTTGTTATCAAAATATATATTCAAGATGATTTGAGTGAATGCGCGACCTGCGGTGGTGGTGCCATCCTCCTTGAAGGCCGGCCGCAGTCGCGCCAGGCCCTCCATGCTGGTGTCCGGGCGAATGCCCTCATCCTGGGTAACGGTGATGGTTTTCTCCTCGTCGCCCATGAGCACCACTGTGGTCACGGGCACGATCTCCTCCTGGAATAGGCCCAGCTTGGTGGCTCGTGCCGCCCTGGCCCATACGGCACCGTCACCGCAACAATCACGCACATCGGCAGTGTTAGTCGCTTTCCAAGGTTACAGAGGTGATGTGTTGCCCTGGTCAATATGATGCTCACGTCTGATGGTGGCTCCCAGGCATGGCTGCAATCCACATTCCTTTGGTTGGGGCCATTATTTTCATAGGACAATGACTGCTGAACTCACACTAACATGTAGTAGTCAATCTAATGGCTCGAGGATGTGATGAGCCGAGTCGACCACCTACCGAGATAAACATTTCGTTTTGTCGTCAGTCTTAGATCGCAGAAACATGAGAGATGGCGACAGCTTGGAGAGGCCTACGTAAAGCAGCGGATTGGTCATGGCCGATCATGATGGTTACACAGCCCTTTGCCAATCAACTGCTGGATGAAGGCCTCCCCACTCTTGTCAGTCATGGGATTTATTACTATGCTTCACCACACTGGTCCATGTGCATCGTTCGCTTCAATGCACAATGTGCCAACTGCTGCACCACCACTCCCCCCACCAGGATATAAATGGACCATCCAAAAGATACATTTTAATTCTGCAAACTGCACAGTGTTCTTTTAAAATTAGATATATATGGCTTATATATAGGCCAGACACATAAATGATTATACTGCCAATAAACGGAATTGCAACAGCACTGCTTCACAACTGATGATCTGTGCAAGCCTTGGATCCAATTACAACTTTCTCGTGACAAATCTCCCCGTGTTTTCATTTTGTTTCGTGCCGCCCACATCGACCGCTCGGCGATGTTTCTTGTGCGATGGTAGGGACCCACTTTTGGTGCGAGGCGACAGCCAGAGCGTCCTGCATCTCCCGGGTGATGCCGTACCGCTCTGCCACATTCTCAGATGTTACCCTGCAGGGGGGTGGGGGGGGCAGGACCCGGGATGTCACCAGTCACAACCAACACGGCCATGCACCCGGGTCACACGCTCCATCAATAATAATAATCCTAATTTGGAGTTTGAGTGTCTTAGTACTAGCAGCATCTCCAGATGCTGTACAGAAACAACTATTTACATACAAATAATGTGGTCATTGTCACATTAACCAAGTACACAATGGTAAAACACAACGTGAAAATAGGATTAAAATTAGATAAAATTGTAAAACCAAAACACACCATCCAGTTAGGATTATAAAATTATATCCTGTAAGGAAAAACCTGTTTACCGGAAATCCACGATCGCATGACTCTGTGCTGCAGGGCAGGGGCTGTGTGTTTGCCAAGATGAAAATGATTTGCCAGCTTGATCAGCGGACACTTTAGTAAGAGGTATAATTATGCAACCCACCTCGGGAAGGAGTTCATTAATCACAGTAATTTATTCCAATAATGGATTTTTTTTACTTTGTGGTGATTGTAAACACAATCATGATAGCATCTAAATGCAATCGTATCTTAAGACACCATGGAAAACAATGGAACATCACAAGGGGAAAAGAGGAATGTTTATTTATTTGTTTCATAACGCAAAATATGCTCAGGTATCGGCAGAGGAGAAGGAGGTCAGGGCGTTGACAGCAGAGGAAGAGGAGCAACTTTCCACTCTGCCGAAGTTGACTGGGAGATTCAACAGAAGACCTTGGTTGTTAGAATGGAGGATTTGTCGAAGGGAGTAAAGTGAAATGAGAGTGAAGAGGCAAGCAGGGACGCGTGCATGGATGATATTGAAGATGCCGAGGGCGATCTTGAAGTTGATCTGGGAGAATGTAGCAGCTACTAGTGGCTGTCGGGGCCATTCCAGATAACATGAGATTTTTTTTCTTAAATGTCGATCCTTAAACACGTGATTCAATGCGTGAGATTAAGAATTAACATTATATCGATGAACGAATGTCTTGTCACTCTGCTGCAAAAGAGCAACACAAATAGAGCAAAACGGAGGTCAGCAGGCCATTACAATAGAGCAGTTGTATTGCTCCCTGCCATTATTTATTTTCTGGCCTTATCGCATCATCCCCAGCAATCCCTCCACCATTCAACGGTGTGCCATAGCTCACCCCATGGGGATGAGGCAGTCCCGCGCCTTGTCATCGTCCATCATTCGGGAGCTCACGTCCCCGACATTCTTCGGGTCCCCAGGCGAACCGCGAGACATGAGCTCCACGCTTCATGAGAACAGCACCGAGCATGCAGCTGTCACTCGTCAACGCAGTGCTCGCTCCGGAGAAAGGGACTGCGGTTCCCACTCTCTATCTCTCGCTCTCCGATTATTACCGCTGCGTTATAGCTGCCTGGGCCAGGTGCAATTTACAAAGAAGCCAGGATGGTGTGCGACACATCATTCCGAAAGTGAAGAAGTTACAATGTTAATTTCCATGTTTTTATCCTGATTGTCCATTGTTATCAAATATGTATGTCAATCACTTATTAATGACGGGGGGGGGGGGGTAAAAAATAATAATAATTAGCTGCTCTTTTGAATGAAGGCATTCACCATGATGGTCAGTGTAGATTGGTGAAGAGGGACAGCCCATGGCTGGTTCAGTTACCACTTGACCTCTGATGTTATCAGTGACCGGGAATCAAACTCAGACCATCAGGTTTACAGTTCAATTCCTTTACCAGTGCACCACCGCTCCACACTCTGTAATGTTGGGTATGGTTTTAATAATGGATTAAATCATTAAATGTAATAATAGGTTAAGTAGGTAATAATGTAATAATATTTGATCAACTTGCTCCATTTTTCTTCACAGTTTACAATGGACCCGCTTCCCCTTATCAACCGAACACCACCCACTCACCCACTCGTATCCTAGCCCATCTATGTTTTTATCTTGTAGTTACACCGACGACACAATTTCTTTGAACCTATGTACTTGTGTTTGTTTGTCTTTCTCTGCTTGTGACTTTGGAGTGTGCTGTACATTTATGTTTGATAAAATATTTATTTGGAGAGAAAAAAAGGGTTGCAGTGGTGACACAGTGACTCGTACACCGTGACCATGAACCCGGCAATCTGAGTTCGACTCACAACCACATGAACCCCGCCAACAACCCACACTGACCAGCGTGGACAAGTATGCCAAAACAGATTGACATGGCGTGGACGGCCCTTCATACAGCAATCGATTTATAAACAACTGTATGTTATTTTATAGTTTATATTTTTATTTCCGTATTTACATTTAACTAATAGTTTTTCTTCATTAGGTTTAAAAGAGTAAAAGTTATCTTCTTTCAAGCTCTGCAAATGCCCCATCACATTACCAACCTGGCAGCGAAAACAAGTGTCACTGATTGGAATGGAAGCCACTTAATCATCGCTTTGTGCCCACAATCAAGATCATTTGCTTACCCGCACGCCATGCCAATGTCATAGGATCCATTACGTATTCCACCTGTGCGCACACACACACAGTGCAGTGGGACATGGCAGCAGAGACTGTGTCACGGGCATCGTGGTTGTCTGAACAACAACGCTGCGACCAATCGGCAACACTGACCCTATTGCTAACCCAACTCTTATCCATTCCCCTCGCTCCCAGGCTTTGTTGTGTCGCGCCCAGGAGCACTCCTCTTACTACGCTCCCCTGGGACCCAAAACCAACTCCAGGCATGCACGCCGACAACGTGGACAAACAAGGGAAGTATTAAACATTGCATTGTTGTTTACAGCAGCGTGTTATTGATGATACAGGAGAGGTGTAAAGGAAGATGCAATTCAAGAAGCTAGTGGACACACAGCCCCCACATGACAAACACGAAACGTGGAAAGGCCTTCATTCATCAACGTATTGAAAAAGGGTGTGAATTATTGTTTCATTTTGAAATAAAAGCAAGCATGCCAAGTGTACGAGTGTACGAGTGGGCGTGCTGCGTGTGCTTGGGTACCGGCGATGTTAATGAAGGCTTGCAGTCCAGACGAGCACTGCCTGTTCACACAGTAAATGGGCACGGTCTCCGGAATACCGCTGGAGTGCGAGTTGGGAGGATGGGGGGGGGGTGCAGAAGGATGAATAAAGTTAACAAAGATAGATTTGAAGCTTTCGTGACTGCAAGGATTCATATTCTTAGGTTTTTTCGGTAAAGTCACGTAGGTAAAAAATTAAATTAATAAAAGAATATTAATAAAAATAAGCACCGTTATCTGCACGCTCCAGCTGCAAAACTTGTTAATGATCATGAAAGTCACATCAGACATATTCTGGAAGGTTCCAACGCAGCATGAGTACGAGAGAAAATATATACATATATTTGCATATGTATATGAAAAGCCTATTTCAAAATCACCTGGGATGTACCGATCTATTCAGATCTTGCAAGATAAGGAGGTTTGAGCCTGGACAATGCTTAGAATGGTGACTACCATATGTAAAACAGGTGCTGTAGGCATCTGTGGAGTTACATTGTAAGCAGGACAGCAGCACAGAAAGACACATTGTTGCACTGTACTATGCCCCAACATCTATGCTCCCTGTCTTCACCTACCCACAGTAAACAGTATGGTGGGGTATGGTCATATAATCCCCTCAACTCGCATGGGTGTGGGGAAGCCCTCATCTAACAGTAGATTGGAAAAATAAAGGGATGTACATCTACACAGATCTATGAAATATAAGGTTTTAGCAAATTCTTATAAAACTAATTGTGCAAATTATAAGCTGTCGAAGCAATTATTTTACATATATTAAATAAATAAATTCCCACGATTAATTTCAACACTCAGAAGCTAGCGGTGCATATACAATGTCCTTATGAATCCACCACAATCAACGTCCTTTCTTCACAGCCAAAGTGTGGCATTCAGAGCTTAATTTCTCACTGAATATTTCCCAGGTGGCTGGCAGACTGGAGTACGACTAGAGACAGCACCGTAGAGGAAAACAGGCATTGACCCCGTAAAAAAGGTTACCAATTCTTCAGGCACAAATTCCGGGAAGTGGCGCGTGACTCGTAGCTGCGGCTTTAACGAGAGGTATACTGGATGCAGTGTGCCGGGTGCGGTGATACTGCCTGGTTTGCACGTGACTGGCAGCCACAATCGCAGCGAGAGTTATACTAGACGTGGGGTGTAACCACAGTGACTAGTAACCACAGCCAAAGTGAGAGGCACATTTTTTGTGGTGTGCTCGATTAGAAAATATTATTCGGGTCACTGGCAGATCGGGAGGTGGGACTTGACTGACAGCAGCAGCCATAGCGATAGGTATACTGGATGCAGTGTGCCAGGTGCGGTGATACTGCCTGGTTTGCACGTGACTGGCAGCCACAATCGCAGCGAGAGTTATACTAGACGTGGTGTGTTGGTTGCGGAAATATTTTCCGGGGCGTTGGTTGACTGCAGTAGGCACATGACTAGTAACCACAGCCAAAGTGAGAGGCATATTTTTTGTGGTGTGCTCGATTAGAAAATATTATTCTGGTCACTGGCAGATCGAGAGTTGGGACTTGACTGACAGCAGCAGCCATAGCGATAGGTATACTGGATGCAGTGTGCCGGGTGCCCGGGTTGACCCGCCTGAAATTATTTCCTGGTGGAGCTCATCCTCATGGTTACCTGAGAAACTGCGCAACCCTGGCAACAACGGCACCTGCTCCCGGCTGCAGCACGTTCCCTACATGTGGCACACACAGCCAGACAAAGCATTACAATTACAATTCAATTAGGGCTTAAACATAATTTAACATTCATAGGGATGCTGTCGTGATATAATGGTTAGCCCACTGGACATGCAATGCAGAGGTCGCCGGTGCGATTTCACTTCCCTTTGTGACAGATGAAACAATGGGAACATTTATTCAAATTCCCCCGCCTCTCTTAACCCAGCAGTATAAATGGTTCCACCAAAATTAGTTGATTGATAGGTTGATGTGGCGGGATAAAGTGCGGGCACACCCACCTCTTCCAACATATATGGCCAGTGTGAAAGAGTAGGCAAAAATTCCATTTACAGAGGCTCTCTAGTGGAGTGCCTTCTGCAAGAAGTGGCACGATAAAAACAATTGCAGGGCTGCACATCAGCACAGTGGTGAGTGGACTGCACTATGAATCCTGCAACCTGAACTGGATTGCCAGCCATGGCTAACATCAGTGGAAGAGCGATATCTTAACCATCTCTGGATGTCCCCTTGAACCACCTCTTTCACCATTCCGCACTACCCAGCATGGTGAAATATGGTTAAAACAACCCTGACTGATCCAGTGTGGGGAGGCTTCGTCCAGCAGTGGATTAACAATGGGCTGTAAACCAAGATACCGCTTTTCAACAAGCAATACAAAAATGGGAAAACGTGGACTTTTTTAATCGCAAGAAAATTAGGAGAGAGAAAGAGCTAAGATGATGTTACGCTAGAAGTGCAAAGGCAATTCATTGTGAGAGTCATATGCACAGACGTCCAGAATAAACACCTTCATACTTAATTTGGAGCTTTCGTGACTGCAGGAATTACTCTTTGGTTCTTTCGGTAAAGCCACGTATAAAGAGAAAATAATAAATGAAAGTATTTTTTCGGTAAAGTCACATATAAAGAGAAAATAATAAATTAAAGTATTTAATTTAATTAATTTTCTCTTTATACGTGACTTTACCGAAAGAACCAAAGAGTAATAAACACCTTGTTCGAGATCCAAAAATCGCACTTCCTGGCTTGGACATTCCTCAAAGACAATGGTCATCAACCACATCAGAACATCAACAGGCCGGTGTGTACATCTCCTTCATGAATGGGGATTCAACACAAGCCACAGTGCGACTGTGGCCATGTAACCCAAACTATGGGACCAGATTGTTAAGGCACTATAGTCAGTGCTCATTCAACGGAGGAGGAGGAATAGCAAACCTACACAAACTCTCCTCCAGACCTCTCGTCGTGGCTAGCAGATCTCCACAGTCGCCTGTCACTCCTGAACATATCGGCATATGCAAGAATAGAATATGCACTGGAAAATTAAGATACTGTTATCGGGACATCGTCATATGCAGAAGAGCAGATGAAAGTCATGAGCCTAGACTTCAACAGAGAAACAGTCTCAGCAGTGCTGACAGCTAGAGGAAGGGAATTCCCATGAGGACAGCAGATGAGAGGGAGCGACCTCCCATTGTGTGAATGTCAACCGAGGTTTTTGATAGGAGCCGTTGGTTGCCAAAGCGCAGGGCAGGTCATAGGGAGTAGAATGAGATGAGAGGGGCATTAATCTTGCCTCTTGCGACACACCACCACTTATTTATTCATCATCATGCCTGCATGTGAAGTGTGAATGCCGAGGAAAGAAATTGCCGCCCTTCTAATAGTCGTTGCCTCACAGCTGAGCACTCTCGTTCCATTCGAGATGTTACAAAGAAAAACATGTGCTCTTGAAATCTTCATTCATATTCTATTTAAAACAGACAAGTGTGTCTGGATAAGTGACGACAATGTTTTAATCGTACTTGGAGGAGAGGTTTAATCTGGCTCGCACTGACGTTGCTGCACTGCAGGGAAGACGGCCGGATTCACCAACAATACCATGAGGTGCACGTTGAATGCGTAGATTGAAGTGGCAGGGGTTTCTTAGCCACATTAACACAAAGGCAATATTATGCTACTGCCTGACAAATGTTATTTTTTGTTTAGCAAGGACATTTTATTCCAATTTTCAAAGTTGCTGCTACACACAGACTTGCACTATCATGCTGGGGAACAAAAACATGATATTTGTACAAAGGCAAAAAACTTGAACTTTGCCCAGCAATTTAGAGCTCTCGTTTGCTGAAATTTGCTATTTCTAGTGTCACTCTTAATCCTGGGAGACTGCCAAGGTGTCATGGTTCGCATTTTGGACTTGCAATCCAGAGGTCGACGGTTCAATCTCCCAGCGCGACAGTTGACAAAATGTTGCAAGATTATTAAAACCCTCCACCGCCTCTGTCCACCCAGCAGTAAAACTGGGTAGGCCACAGTTAATCAGCAGATGTCTAGCCAGCATGAAAGAAGTAAGCAAAAATACGACTCTAGAGGGGCTGTTTAGAGTTCCCACTAGTAAAGGCCCTTATGCCAACAGTGGCGTGAGAAAGCAATTTGCAGGACTGAACCTTTACCTTTTAATCCCAGTTTAGCTGGCACACACAGCAGCACATTAATCTGCTTGATAGAAAAAAAGAGTCATTTTAATTAGGTATGTGATGTGTATATTTAATGTTTTTGACAGTTAATCAACTGCTGATGTTACAGCAACAAATGTAAAGCACACATTTATTGCTGCTTAAAAATATGAGATGGCGACAGCCTAAAGGAGGCCTTCATCTAGGAATGGATTGATCAAGGCTACTTGACGATGGTGATAACTTATAAAGGACAGGATGTGGCCACCCACCCACACAGATGTCCCCGAGCTGGCTTGGCTGGAGTTTGGTGGCCTTGAGCAGGCCTGTCATAACGGCTATCAGAAGCTCATCAACCATTGTGTCCTGCAAGTGGAATATGGCACAAACAGATAAAACCTCAAGCACCAAATTCACATTCCCACACACAGCCCATGACACAGACATCAGATTATTTAGGTAATTCATCTGTAGACACAATTTGTAAATGTCTGGACAAATTCTTATTCCAAATGTCGAGACAAAGGAGCCATTCATAACTCCTTAAGAGAATGATCTAAGGAAACAGATATTACAGAATTATCTCTGAGATCCCTTTAAGTTAACGTTTTTAATCCATATACTAAAGGGGTGTTATACTTTTCCACATGCCTGGCAACAGAGACATATTTATGACATTGGCAGTTGATCCAAGAGAATTTTTTATTTCTCAGAGATGGAATTTAGCCAATCTTAATCACGTTTATGTGCAGTTATTAGTGGCTGGCGAGAGACTATCTGCTCACTACAACTGAGTACCCAGTTTCATCATAGATGGCTGAATCCCGGATTTGAACCCAGGTCCTCAGTGGTGCTTGCGAAGTGCTCTGACCCCTAAGCACCCAACCTCCCGCCCCAGACACAATTCAGGATCTCCAACACCCAACCCCATTCTCTCCATGACCTCCTCCACACAATTACCTCTCAATGCAATAGAAAAGTTGCACAAATGTTCATAGCATTTATGGGAAGTCGGTGAAAATGTTAATGTAAATTAGTGTCCGTGCTTTTAAATCTAAGCAAATGCGGATTACTCTTTACATTTCACGATTTCCAGTCTTCCCAAATTAGTGGTGTGGATGTTGACAAATGTCATTATTACGCCTGTCCAAAAATAAAAACTCGGCGACATCATCAGTGATGTTGCTGTGATGCACTACCATGTGCGTAGTTTTCCCACGGTTAGGAGTGCAATAAAAAATATATTCTTCTTTTAAGCCAGAAGTCCCATTACTGCCTGGGGTTTGCTGTTCAGATTTCCCTTCTCAATGATATGCCTTTCCTTGAGTCATATCCAATGTCCTCATATTTCAATCTATCACATGCTTCCATCTCACCCTCAGTCGCCCTCTCCTCCTTCTGCCCTGTACTAGCATCTCCATAGCCCTTATCAGCACAGTTCAAAACTTTCAAAGTCGAACCACACTTACCCTCACAAGAATATTAGTAACCCTTTCTAAGGCTGTCTTCATTAAGCTTCGCTTCCCTCAGAAATATCCCCAACATCCATCTTAGTGAGATATCAGAGATATTCCCAACATCCGACTTAGGATTCTCATGTCTGTCAATTCAAGAGCTTCTTCTAACGTCTTCCCTGATGCCCATGGCTCTGCACCATATTGTAAAACAGTGTAGACGTGAAAAAGTGTTCATGCAAATTGAGCAACGCAGAAATATGCTCCATTTGTCAAATAAATACAATCTGTTTGGTCTCCCTTGGATGCGGTGGCACCTTAAAGACCCCGCGCTTTGCTCTGCCGAAGGGCGTGCGCACGCCATGCACCACCACAATGTCATCGTCCGTCTGCGGCACAAAAGGGACCACTCTTGCGCCGGCTGACGAAACGGAGCGAGGGCTGGCACCACCGCCCCGTGGCGCCAGGTGCTGCAAAATCACCGCCGCCCGGTTCATGTCTGTGGGCAGGGAAACACAGCAGCCGCGAACGGCAGTGCTTTGGAGGCGAGGATTGGTACATTGCATCATGCACATTTCACATATTGCATTTCAATGTGAGCAGCCGTGATCAAAACAAGTCAATGCGATTTTAGTGGACCTTGTATCGTATGGTGTGTCGCAGTATCGCTGCATCTCGACAATACTTATCGGTGCTTTCACTCAGTACAAATAGCATACACAGTGAAAAGAGAAGCTTCTGCAAAACGTAACGTATGAGCCACACGAGACTGTCCGTCATGTCCCTGCAGTGTCCGTCTCAAGCCGTAATGAGGAACACAAAGATTGTCTAAAGGCTCCCTGCTCAATAGGCCAGTAAACATGGTTTACCTTTCGTGGCAGTCCAAAGCCAGTGGTGGAAAATCGACATTCTTATGATAGGACTGTTTGCAGTATTGCGGCATGTCGCAATTTCAACCCAATGTGGTTAAAAACCAGACAGCACTGGTGGCGTTAATCAACTTATGAATGTGGCAATAAAAAAATAAAAACCTTTTTTCAATCAAAGTTTGAACGAAGGCCCCCTACTCTGTGTTGGTCCATGGGGTTGCTTTAACCATACGTCACCACAACGATCAGTGCGGGTTGGTAAGGAGACAGAAGCAGGCATTGTTCAGATATTACTCAAAATCTCTTGCCACTGGTGTTAGCCGTGGCTGGGAATCGAACGCAGGCTGTCGGGCTCTTAGTAGAGAGTGATATTATCACGATACTCCAGCAGGATCCAGCAGTCCCAAGAGAATGGAGATTTAAAAAAAATGGGAAAGGATAAATAGGGCAATGATGCTCAAGGTAATATATAGGAATGGGTTGAATCATTTTAGGAGCTCGTGGGACGGGATGGCTTGGGGGAAGGGAATGGAGCCCATGGGAACGTGGTAAGAACATTACGATGATTAAGACTGGTTTATAAGAAAAAATAGGCTAATGCTTTGGGCAAAAACCCTTCCTGAGAGGAGGGGGGGGGGGGCATGGGTAGGGGAGAAGCGGTGACATCGCTGAAGATAACAATTCACACTTTGACCCTGAGAAAAATGTGCCTGCTATGCAATTGACAAAAGAGCAGTTTTTCATTCGGATGCAAGGTCGAAATGTAACAAAAAGATTGAAATGACCATAAAAAACGTGGCACAAAAAAAAAACACTCACGTGGAAACTCTCCCTATGCAGTTACGAACTGCAGCTCTATCGCATTCTTACGATTCCCTGTATTTTCTCAACAATGGGATCTCCACATATACATGAGCACATGTCAACACCCCACCCAGCCTCTGTGTAACAGCGCAGCACACGTGTGTGCAACGCATGTGCATAGCCAAGCACGCATACACATGGCCCAGCACACACGTGCACTACACAACACGTGTGTAAAGTGTGCAACGCATGTGCACACGTGCACTAGGCATGTGCACACGTGCACTAGGCATGTGCACACGTGCACTAGGCATGTGCACACGTGCACTACGCATGTGCGTACACGTGCACTAGGCATGTGCGTACACGTGCACTAGGCATGTGCACACGTGCACTACGCATGTGCACACGTGCACTACGCATGTGCACACGTGCACTACGCATGTGCGTACACGTGCACTACGCAACAGGCGTACACACGTGTGCAACGCATGTGCACATGTGCAGCACGCATACACATGGCCCAGCACACACGTGCGTGCACGCAACACGTGTACACACGTGTGTGTGTGTACACACGTAAGGAGTTCCACATGCGTCCACCGTTGTTTGCAGGCGTGCGGTGTTGTACTAACGCGGGCCTCGCGATGTTAGATCCATCGCTGGTCTGTAACAAAGCTTCTCTGCGGCTTAATGCGAACACACCGCGCCCAGAACGCACAAGCTGCCCTGTTACACGAAGCACACGTAGTGTACACACACACACACAGTGTACACACACACACAGTGTACACACACACACACAGTGTACACACACACACAGTGTACACACACACGTATACACATACACACCCGTGTACACACAGTGTACACACACACACACAGTGTACACACACACGTAGTGTACACACACACACACGTATACACATACACACACGTGTACACATAGTGTACACACATACACACATAGTGTACACACGCACAGTATACACACGCACACGTAGTGTACGCGTGTGTGTACAAACTACAGCCACTTCAACGTGTGCGCATGTGCACTGTACGTATGTGGGTCATAGGGCAAGTAGCGATATTGTTACCTTGTGCACACTCACGTTAACACACTCACTCACGTTAACACACACACACGTACACGCACGCGTGTTAAGACACACACACACACACACGTACACGCACGCGTGTTAAGACACACACACACACGTACACACACGCGTGTTCACGCTGCACACACACACACAACACATGCTGTATTGTGTGTGTGTGCTGCGTTGTGTGTGTGCGTGTATGCGATTGTACACTGCGCGTGCATGTAAAAGTGTAGTCGTGGAGTCTTTGCAAAAAAATAACATACCGTCGAAGAACGTCGGCTTGTTCTCAACACGGAGACAAATATACACACACACACACAAGCGTGTACACAATTGCACACAGACTCACACACGTGTACACCAACACACACGTGTACACCACACAGACTCACGTGTACACCAACACACACGTGTACACCACACAGACACAGACTCACGTGTACACCAACACAGACACCAACTCACGTATACACCAACACAGACCCACGTGTACACAGACACCAACTCACGTGTACACCACACAGACCCCAACACAGACACCAACACACGTGTACACTACACAGACACCAACTCACGTGTACACCACACAGACTCACGTGTACACCAACACAGACTCACGTGTACACCACACAGGCACCAACACACGTGTACACTACACAGACACAGACTCACGTGTACACTACACAGACACCAACTCACGTGTACACCACACAGACTCACGTGTACACCAACACAGACTCACGTGTACACCACACAGGCACCAACACACGTGTACACTACACAGACACAGACTCACGTGTACACTACACAGACACCAACTCACGTGTACACCACACAGACTCACGTGTACACCACACAGGCACCAACACAGACTCGCACAGAGACCAGGGCCCAGACTTCCGATGTCGTCACGCGTGCGACGCGGACAGCCAATCAGCGCGCGCGGCCATGTAGCGTGCAGGAGGAGTGAGAGCCAGAGACACCCTGCACGTGTGGTGGGTGATGTGCAGGGTGGTGGGTGATGTGCAGACACGCTGCACGTATCGTGGGTGATGTGCAGACACCCTGCACGTATGGTGGGTGATGTGCAGGGTGGTGGGTGATGTGCAGGCACCCTGCACGTGTGGTGGGTGTTGTGCAGGGTGGTGGGTGACACGTGCAGACACCCTGCACGTGTGGTGGGTGACACGTGCAGGAGGAGTGAGAGCCACAGACACCCTGCACGTGTCGTTGGTGACATGTGCAGCCACCCTGCACCCTGCACGTGTGGTGGGTGACACGTGCAGATATCCTGCACCGGTGGTGACGTGCACGCACTCCCTACAACCATATGCATTATACCAGCGGTGAAGTGCAGACGTCGCCTGTTTTTATGTTTCCTTTGCAGGCCGCGGTGTTATTGACCAATCTGTTGAGTGTTTTTGTTGTGATTTGTGCTCGTGCATCTACTATTAACCTGGCATCAACAAATATTTTTTTTTAATTTCAAACACGCTCACAATGGCCACTGCTCCCCTAAGCCACGTGTGCTACAGATGGACAACAGGTCATTATGATGAACGTGGGCACACACGTTTTTAGATCTCACGATTTGCCAAAAGCCACCGTGAATCCGCCGAGGGCCCGCTGGCTAGAACACACGAACATGTCTGGGTCACCACTGGGTGTCACTTGCTGCCACTTGCAAGTCCATTTTTCACTCAGCCCCTGTCGTGTGCTGTCACTTGGCGCAGAGCATTCTCATTTGTTTAGTTGTGTGTCGATGCCTGTGACCAGTGGTGGACTTTGTGCCCCCTACTTGTTCTGTCATTGCAATGTTTGTTAATGATCAGATAGATTCGAAGCTTTCGTGACTGTAGCTTTCTGTGTGTCTATGTGTGTGTCTCTCTCTCTGTGTCTCTGCGTGTGTCTCTCTCTGCTTGTGTGTTTGTCTGCGTGTCTCCGTGTCTGTGTTATGTTTCCCTCTCAAATTTAGCAATCTTTGGAAGAACATCATCAACCGGGTCGGGTGTTGACTGTTGTGTTAGCCGACTCTCTGTGTTGTATTGCATTATATTTCTAATCGATTCTCATATTTTTGGTACTGGCAAAGGAGGTCCCATGATATAATTTCTAAGTTTACTATGTTTGTTTTCTCATTCATTTTTACCTGATGATGGTTGCTTGTGTTGCAATCGAAACGTCGTATTCTATTATTATTTAATTAATTTCCTTTCTACGTGACTTTACCGAAAGAACCAAAGAGAAATGATCAGATAGCAAAGTATTTCAGTGTCATGGATGCAGTGGGTGAAATCTACAGCTTGCAGTGTATCACCCTGTATCAGACAACAAGATGACATCACTAAACCATTTTCAAGTCAATTTATAGAAGTCGTTCGCCACCCTAGGAACACGCATATGTATATTCCCCGTCAAGATTGCTGTGTTGATGGCGAGTGGCCGGAACAATAGAGACAATTTGTAGTCCACTCTTCCCAGTGCTTCGTGAGTACCATTGACCTCTGAGGAGCACACATCTGACCTCAAGTAATCAACACATTACCCAGGCATTCAAGTAGTCTCCACGAAACCGGCGAACAAGGAGAAGACCTATGAGCAGGTGGTGAGATACTGAGGGAGGATCTTGGAGGTCCGTATATCTACCGTGCAGCAGCTGGCTGTAGAATCTGGAAGAGGGTGGTAGAAATCCTTACTGAGGTGTGGTGGTATCAACTGGCTTTGACAAGGAATACTTCTTCAAATATTTCTCGTCGCATACCAATGCAACCTGACATTTTAAAATTTCAGAGCTCGAATAAGCCAAATGTATAGACGTAGAACTTTCTTTCGCACAGTACGTAGCCAACCAAGGACAACAAATGAAATGAATACAGTACAATTCCCACATTTAATGTGATGGGGTTCACTTTACAAGTCAATGGAGGTCGGGCTGAGGCTACGAACTTGCGACACTTGTAAACCCATTTTAATCACAGCGCGGGCTCGGTTCCCTAGCCCCAAGGCTACGGAGCCACCTCCAGATACTCTCAGATCTTAAATTAATTACACCACATGACTCGCCGCATCTGCCCGTGCGGAAATTGTGAAATGCACGATATATTGGTCTTCCAAAATGTCCCATTCGTTTTGTTTAAACGCCAGATGTGACAATGACGATGAGCGATTTGTGGTTAAACCAGATCTGGCCTGCAGTGACGTTAAACGGTCGTGAACAGCAGGATTTGTGCTTTTGTCTTCGAGCAAATTTACAGGCTGGAAGTGAGTTAACCCTTTTCTGTCAGCCTCGGGGCGAGAGAGATCCTCTCCGGCGAGTCAGCCCACATCACTCGAGCACTCCGATGTGTTTTCGGGTTGTACCGCGTGTTGTTCGGCACGACGTCCGACGTTTGTCGCTTAGTTCCTGAAGAAGCTTCTCGGCACTTGGAAACGATACGTCTGACATCATGCTTGACAGCACGCGGTCCAACCCGAAATCACATTCAAGAGCTTCACAGCACAACAGCGAAAAACTATGCAATAGTACACATTGATCTGACAACCAACGCATTTGAAGTAAACCGAACGTAGTATTTAATCGCAGCCTTTACAGTATGTTACATAGCCTGTAGTAAACAACATGTCAACTCGACAAGGACACCGCATACACCCTTTCCAGTTCGCAAGGTGAAGCAAATATTGATTTTTATTCACCTATATTTTTCATTATCATTACCATTACCGTTCACTTGTGTAAACAGATCATTTCTAGGTTGACAGAAAAAACGTGCAGGCTTTCCGACAGTCTGATGTGGCCATTATTAACACGTCCAATAAATTAAACATAGCATCTGCGTGCGATTAACTGTCAACAGGAAAACGCGAATGCACGCCTAAATAATTCAAAGGTAAATCGTGAGAAAATAATCTTATCCAGGGAAGACTACCAGTCCCAGAACTCATTTCAGGAAGCTACCGGATTGTAATATTTCCACCTCCATTAAGAAGTGTTTTAATTGATCACAGTGGGGTTAATTTCAAGTGATCAATCGAAACGATATCACATTGAGAGATAGAGAGGGGATAACGTGGATCATAGAACATACGCAGGCGAATGGCATCATTCAAACTGTTAAGAAAAGTCGTTCTTTGGCAGGACACGCCAATGGAAAGAGAAGGTGACTTATGGTCAAGAATAACGATGGGGAGCAGCAACCAAGGAATGCAAAACTTACGAGAGTCACGTCCACCGCGGAGATGGAGCGATGAAATGAGCTCGTGTGCGAGTGTCAGGTGGTTTGCAAGAGTTGGCGGTAGCTAGGGGAGGCTTTCCTCCAGTAGAGGCGTGACCATATCCGATGATGATGATGACAATGATGATTCAAACAATTCGACATTTTACTGGTAGGAACCTCCTGGTTATACCAGCCCACAGGGGATTATTGTGTCCGTCCGTCCGTCGTGGAGGGAGAGGCTGGGTGGGGAGGGAGGGGCTGGGTGGGGGGTGGGAGGGGTGGGGCTGGGTGGGGAGGGGCTGGTCACCCCGTGGTGCCCTTATAAAACTCAACGTTTAACCTACTCACGCCGTTTTGTGCCTGCCCTCACAGTCGGACATATTTGCGGAATACACCACGCCGCCGTTGACCCTGGCCATCAACCCAACGTTCCTACCAGCTCCCTCCGCAGGAATGTGTTAAATCATAGTGGGTGTCAGTGGCCATCAACCAATTTCAAAACATTGTTCAAGTGGCTCAGGGTCCCCGATATTTGTGATTATATAACCGTTACACAGACAATGCATTGGCTGAAACAGTCACAAGCAATTCAAACTATTGCACATGAAAGCGTTTGTTCTCCAGCCGTGTCTCCTCCTGCACGACATTTATACCTACGTGACTTTACCGAAAAAACCTAAGAGTATGAATCCTTGCAGTCACGAAAGCTTCAAATCTAGAATTTATACAAGTGTAGTGTAATAGCGCCGTCTGTTGTTCAGCAACGGCAACTGCGGTGGACGAGTCGTACACACGCCGGTGAGCACTTACGCGGTGTGTGTCGGCAGGGCGGAGGAACTTGGGCAAGGGTCACAGAGACCCCGTCTGGAAGCTCCTGGAACCCGCTAGTGGGTTCGAGAAGGGAGGCGCGGCCAGGGCGGAGCCAGGCCGCGCTGAGTAGATTAAAAGCAGCGGAGAACGAGAGCTCCGGGTTCTAGGAGTGGACTCGTCGTCGCTGTCGTCTTCGCCGCCTTCGTCGCTGCCGCCTTCACTCGATAATTGCGTGGCCAGATAGTTGTTGGCTGTCTCGGTCGACGCCGTCGGTGTAACACGGTCAGGGTCGTGTCTAGGCTGGGCTATATGACTTGGGAGAAGCGAGCGTGAACCTGCGAACCTGAAAGGATTTAATAAAGAAGGTGCCTCCTCAAGAATCCTGTCTTCCGCTCCGTTGACACTACACAAGCATCAAAATGCATGCTTTGGTTAAAATTATTGGTGGCTTTGTGTGGGTGCACAAAAGCCACGTAAATAATGTAACTGTGTTTCCGTGAATGGGTGAAATTGCGGCAGACAATAACAGCAGCGTGCTGATACAATGATGAGCGGGCCACACATGAGCACGCAGACATCGAGTCAGTCTCAATGGCACGGACGCTTTACTCACTCTGTGTGGGTGCCTGGGAAGATGAGATCGCCCTCCTTCCCCAGAGATATCTGCGGACCGTGTTGGAGATATGGCCGATAGTGTGGATGCATCTCTCCTTGTACTATATTTACCTCATCCCCACTAATCACACGAGCAAATCAGCACACTAACCAGACCCAAGCACCATCACCCAACCTCTGACTCTAATAAGCCACCACTCTTCTTTACCACTGGCTGCACTAGCGCTATCCACGCGGCTCTAGCTCTATC